TGAAATAATACGAGTTACTCATCCAATTAATCATCCGATGGCTATCCAGTCGTTCATCCAACCATTATCCAACTATCATCCAATTAACTTATTTTCAAATTGCTTAAATTGAAACTTGTTTTATGTGAGCCTTTGAATTTTTAACTTCTCTTGTGTTGGTTTTAACACATATTAAAAGTGATTAATTAATTTGTATCATTATTAGAGAATTGGATTGAATTAACACACTAGATGAATTCAATGTCATCGGATCATTCATTGGATATCCAATAAAAGTATCCAATGGATGGAATCGAACCGATCCAATCATCCATTGGATTAGGTTGAATCAGAACGGTTATCCAACGTTAATCGGATCGGATCAGTTGGCAAAATCCAACATCCAATGAATGATTGGATCGGTTCGGTTCCGCTCACATCCAATGGATGTCAACCGATGAACGGGCCTAACCAAATCTATTATTGAAAACGGAAGTTGAGAGAGAGGAAGGTGATTAGATAAAATTGTCCCTCACTAACGAAAAGTTAACTGAAATAGTTAGTAGGAAGGACCATATCCATTATAAAAATGAAACTATAGTATAGAGACGTTCCTCGTTAATTATTTTTTCGGAAGATCTTACTCGTTAATTTATATAAACCATATGGACCAAATTTATATTTAAGTCTTATTTTATTTGAAGAAAAAATTATGACATTAATTTAAAATTCGTTGAATATGATTTTTGGAAATATTGAAATAAAAACAAGTGATTTTTTGTTAGTTATTTGCCAACAAAAATATGTAATAGAAATAGAAGGCTAGAGATTAAGGGATGGTTTACCTAAATGATTATCCGGTAATTTTTTATCTTTAGAAGCTAATATTATAATTTATTTTGTCGGGTAAGATTGTAGTATATCAAAATGATATCGTATGCAATAATTTATTCGGTAAGCACTTACTCGGGTAAAAGTCGTCACCTTCACTTATCGAGTAAGACTGTTCATCTTTATCATTATTCTTACTGGGTAAGATTTTTGACCCTTATCATGTTCATTCGGTAAGGAAAATTACCCAGTAAACACTTACTGGACACCACAACAAAATTGGGTTTATAGGACGCTCCCAATCTCTAAGCGTCCCAATAGACCACTTTATAGAACTTAATTTATAGGACCAAAATATGAAGCGTTAAAGGTGTTGTAATAGGTTAATATGACACTTTTGGCCATCTTAACAAGTTTTTTAGAATATTTTTAATACAAAGTGTCGCATTAGCAACTTTATAGAACACTTTTGATAAAGTGTCCTATAAACTCAATTTTTTGATAGGACATTTATTTTTATAGGACAGTATTTCAAATAGTGTCCTATAAAGTTGCTAATGAGATGTTTTATATTAAAAGTGTTCTAAAAAACTTGTTACGAAATCAAAAAACGTCATATAAACTTATTACAACGCTTTTAGATAAGACATATAAACTAAGTTCTATAAAGAGGTCTATTAAGACGCTTAGAAATTGGGAGTGTCCTATAAACCCGATTTTGTTATAGTGGGATAAGCGTTTAATAAACGGCCCCTAAAATTGAACAAGTTACTCGTACTCGACAATCAATGAAAACTTTTTAAATTATATTTCTAACTAATTTTATAAATAAAAAAATTTACATTAATAATGTATTTTTAATTAATTTAACAAATTTAAATTTAAATTATTTAAGTGGAGTACGTCGTTAAATTATACATTAAATTAAATATTTTATTTTTTGTTATTAAATTGAATAAGGAATTTAAATTTAAAAAAAAAGGGAAAAGTCTAAAAAAACCCAAAGACTTTAGTGTTTGGAATGATTAAGTCTTTGGACAATTTTTTGGAACAAATAAGTTCTTGGACATTTCAAAACATGTTAAATAACTCTTTGGACATTCCAAAACATGTTAAATAACTCTTTGGACAATTTTTTGGAACAAATAAGTCTTTGGACAATTTAAAACATGTTAAATAACTCATTGGACAATTTTTGGAACAATTAAGTCCTTGGACAATCCAAAACATGTTACATAACTCCTTGGACTTTTCTAAAACATGTTGTATACATTCTTATGACTTGTACAACTAGTTAAAGTGGTAAAATAGTGAAAAAAAGTCCGAAAAAACCCCCAATGAACTTTCATATTTTGAACGATTAAGTCCCTAAATATTTTTTGAACCAAAAAGTATTTAGATCTATAAAATTAAACAAATATAACAAAAAAGTACTTACATTTACAAAAAAATAATTACATTTAAATTTTTTTTTTGATAAAATTTATTTTAATTAAAATTAAAATATATTCTTCAATGATTTTTCAAACAAAAA